CCTGACTTGGAGAAGGCATTCTACCCTTTTCTGACTCAAGACAATGGGCTCAGATTTAGAAGAGCTGATTCACGTCCCAGCTGCTTCACACTCGGCTGTAAACTGCTCCAGATGAAGCCAACAGTACCACATCATCTGCAACAAGCAGAGACCAGGGGTCTCATTTATCAAGCTATACACACAAAACGGGGTTGGAAAACTGCGTAAGCAACTTTCCATGCAAACTTTGGCATTTATAAAAGAAAACTTAGCGGAAAAATGTGCACAACTTTAAGTTGACTAAGGACCTGGCTTACGCACATGTTGGACATGGAGAGCACCTGCAGTGCCGCTGCTGAGAAGGATGAAATTATGAAATCCTGCAGCATTATCACTTGTACTGTTTCGTTTTCACACAGAACAAGACCCCCCACACGCACACACACACACATACACACACACACACACACACACACACACACACACACACACACACACACACACACACACACACACACACACACACACACACACACACACACACACACACACACACACACACACATACACACAGCCTGAAGCGCAGAATACGGAATGCAGAATATCAGCAGGGGGACAGATTGAGACAGAATGTCATGCGTCTGTGACAGTGTGAGCGTCCTGTCACTGTGACCCGATTGATCATGTGCCCTGGCTACTTGAACAAGGGAGATCTCTGTTTGGCTGACTGGTTAGCACGTGAGTCTCACCAGGAAGTCTGGGGATCGAATCTCAGTCGGACCATTTTTTTAATATCCGCCACAGATCTCTCTGAAGAACTCACAACATTGATGGCTTCAGCAACGCTGTGCCACTCCATGGATTTTCTCTTATTTGTTTTTCAAAAGTACTTCCTTTCATTTCTCCACCTCACCCACAAGTACCTCAATTTCTGCTTCGGTGAAATAGCGCTTCCTTGATCTGCCTTGATCTGCCTTGATCTGCGGTCGCCATCGTTAATGATGAAATGCTGCATCGAGCAGGCTTATGTATGCATGAGATCCACAAGGCACTTTGCACTGACCATTTATGGCAGAAAGTGGGCGTGTTGAGGGCGAGATGTGATCAAAATACACCTGAGAACTTTTCTAGATAGTTTCTGATTTATAAAGTGGAGATTACATGAAGCTGTGCGTACTCCATGTATTATAGGTCACATACATACTTGACGTAAGTACATTTTTTTGCTGAGCTTAAGTACGGGTTTAGTAAGGATTTCTACGCAACGTTTTATAAATGAGACCCCAGATCATTAGGCCACCAAAGCAGATCCTCTCAAAACTTTGGCAGTGCCTAGAAATCCAGACCACAAATTTAATGAAGAGAATCTGTGACAAAGGACCGCCTTGGTGGAGTCCGACTCTGACACCGGTCATACAGCCCGTATCAGAGGGCCTGGTACCTCTGGTATGTTGAGAACAGAGAACTATAATTGCTGTGGTTTGTTTATAAATGCTTTTAACTGTTGTAAACTAAAATCTATCACAGGGACATTTATCTCACCACTCTGTATATTCAGGTTTATGGCACATACCATTTGATGTACGTATGTGTTTCTACTTTACAAGAAGCCTTTCACATCCATGTAATTAGTTTTTATGTTTGATACAGATTTCCAGCTGCTGGCAGGCAGCTAAACTGCTCCAGGTGGTTCTTCTCAATAGCCTCAGGCAGTTCTGTGAGCCAGCAGACACATTTTATTAGCAGGTCAAGTAGCTCACCACTCTTCATTAGGATACAGCCCCAGAATCCAGTCAAGGGAAGAAACCCAAGGATCAAGATCAGCCTGTAACTGCCACAGAGTTTACTGAAACACTCATATTTGACTCTCATCTGAGATATCTGAGAGAGCAGGAACAAATCCAGCAGAAAGTGAAAAGACCCGTGTTGAGTTTAAAAGAGATTGTAGGAATTTCACAGAGCATTCAGAAAGCTCTCTCTCTGAAAACGTCTGAATGCTCTCTCAGTGAGACGCATAAATCTAGCCTCATTCCATGACGCCTTCAGTTTTCTCTCCTAGGTTAGAGTCAAGGTGACGAGTGGTATTGGTTTCCGTCCTGCATGAGTACCATAATATCAGTGAAAACAAAAAAAAGTTAATTATTTTCCTCACGCAGCTCCCCATCGTGCTGTTCACGTGTCTTTTTTGGCTGAATAAAAAAGACACAAAGCCAACTGAATCCAGGAACTGGAGAGGTGAACAAAGTTGATTAAAAGCAGCTGAAAAGGTTTTACTGGAGCGGTTGGAGACAGAGGAGAGAGAGCAAAGGGACAGTCTGGCTCTAACAAATAGTTTTCTCTGCAATGCAAGATGAGGTGGATGGAATCCAGACAGTCAAGGAGGCAGGAAACGGGAGAGTAGCACAGGTGAGTCGGGGAGGTGAGCGAGTGAGTTTTCCAGTTTTTTTCGTCAGAGCTTCTTTTACAAAGAAATAAGATCATCAGGGAAACGTATAAGGTAGCAGCTGAGTGTGTTTTTGTGGCATTTTACCACTCAACTGTAATAATGGTGAACTTAAAGGTTGCCAGATAAGTCCTACTTGGGTTTCCTTTGTAGTCCACTCCCTGTAGGCTGAGCGATGAAGGCCGAGGACTATGAAAGCAGCAGGAATGAAGACAGCAGATGCCAGAAAGGTATAAGAACACCAGAGGAGGCCATGCTGGATCCTAGGTCCGTATCAGCCTAACTAAAGGGATGGATCACAGATATTCAGACCTGCATGAACTGTAAACATCTCATTTCTGCTGGAACACAAAATTCACAGCAGTGTGAGTAAACTATCCACACAATACCAGCAGTTTATAACCACAGATACACGCTTCAAAACATCTGGATGAAAAAGGGATCTCCCGTGGAGTCCCAACCATTACCATGGAGGCGGTACCGGGGTGAAAACCAGTCCGAATGTTGTTGAAGAGCCTGACTCACGCTGTGTGACGAGGTCATGATGTATTTTCCATCACAAACTCTCCACTCTCCTCTCTTCCCCCTAAAGCTGCCTTCTCTTTGCAACAACTTCAGAGTCCAACGGAGCAGGATCTGAGTCTGTTGCTAGCTTTCTTCTTTGGCTGTCGGGAGCGTGTGAATACATCTCTGAGTCCTGTTTGACCTCATGCTGCCTCTGTCAGAAGAAGGAATGAGGGATGAAGTTCTAATCCCTTTATGGGCTGCTGTGGAGTCAGGCTGAAGGCTGGGATGTATCTGCAGATGGTGGAGATTGGATTCTGGAACTTTCCAGCCTTTTGGCTCCCCGTGGTATTTATATATAATCTGACCTGCTGCCAAGAACTCTCTCTTCCAAGCAAATGATTATTAGGTGGCAGAAAGTCACCCAGAGCACACGGGGGAAGGGAGCGGAGGTTACAGTGACTCGTATAAATCTCTAGAGTCAGCCTTTCTCTTCATCCTGTTTACTTTCACAGAAACTGGTCGGACACAGAGGGCCTCCTCTTCCTCATGCTGGATGAGATGACACATTCTCTCACCTGAAGTTTGTTTTATTGGAACAAAACCATCTGCAACCCAGTTTTCAAACTAAAAGATCAAGTGTTTCCATGAATGACCACCTGCCCAGCATGGTGCTGGTTCTTTAGGGCAGACCCAAAAGGGTCCAGAGTCTTGGTAAGTGTCCTGCTGCTGATGTTTGACCTGGATCTGCAGCAGAACTTCTTTATGACCTGTATAAAGTCAGGGCTGAGTCATCATCGCTAACAGAAGTCATCTGTTCTGACCGAGGTGTCTTAGATCATCATCCATCAGACACACTGACTCAGAGATCCTCCTCAGCACAGATGTCCTGCTTTGATAAAGTTCATGAGCCTAAAAACATGTTTTGTTTGACAATGTGGAGGTGGTGGGTAGATGACCCCGACCCATCACCTTCATTAGTCCTAACATAGACCAGTCCTCTCGTACCCATCAGGTTCCTGAAGTCTAGGATCTGGGAGACGTGTCATGTGTCTAATCGTTTTTAACTACGTTAAATCTGCTCCTACAGCTCCTGAAGGTGGAGAAAGAAGATGTTAAACCAGAGTCAGATGAGCTACAGTAGAAGCTGGTAGCTGGTGTGTTTAAACCAGCCACCGCTTTGGTCTAAATAGCAGGCAGCAGCTGTTCTGGTGTCCAGCCAGACTGTCGAGGTAAGGAGAGCATATACCTGGCTGAGGAGCCTGATCTAGGTCCAGGATCACTAAAGCCGGGCGTACACTGTGCGACTTTTTCACTTTTTTGAGCCGATTTTCCAGTCGTGCGAGAAGCCACGACATCGGGGCGAGTTTTGCGCCGAGCGGTCGTGTAGTGTACAGGGGGTTACGAGAGGCGATTAACACCACGTGACCAGCCGCCGATCAGCAGTCGTGAGGTCGCAGGGACTTCTGGTGTGTTTAATATTTCGCTCGTCCCTCGTGAGGGTATCGCACTGTTGAAGCGGCGCTGCGAGCAGCTGCGAGCAGCTGCGAGCAGCTACGATCCAAAAAGTATCAGAACCGCTCACGGCGCATGCGCGCGCAATCCTGCATCAACGCCGGCCGGTCGCTCGCTATTTCCCTAATAACACACGCTGTTCGTTTTTGTTTCTACACGTTTTTTTACTCACAAAGATTGTCAAGAAAGCGTGTTTGTCGTGTTCATGTCAAATTAAACTGATCACAAAACACAGATTCACTTTCTTTATTTCGTTTTCCTCATCCAACCCCCATAAATCCCTGTGTGTCCTCCTGCAGCACTCCCGAAGGACAACAGGCAAGACAAAAAAGTCTGACGTGTTGAGTAAAAACTGCTATTTTTAGCACATTTTTAGGGCCGACGTGTTGCTACCAGACGTACAGTGTGAGCAGTCAGGTCGCATGCGAGAACTGGGTCGTACAGTGTGAGCACATGACTCGTGAGATCTGCTCTGCGAGGAAGTCGTACAGTTTGAGCTGAAGCTGAACGCTGCGAGTGAAAAAGTCGCACAGTGTACGCCCGGCTTAACAGAGACTGGAGCACTGGTCCTGGCCTTTGACCTCCAGGCCACAGCTCCTATTCTCTTCTGCTTCTTTCAGCTTATGAGGTCCTTAGTGACTCATTGAACGTGTCTCAGCAGGACTTCAGCAGCAGTTTGACACTCAGCAGAATGCTGGCTGTGGACCTCCTCCTCCTCCTCCACCTCCTCCTCCTCCTTCCTCTGTGCTGCTGCTGCTACCTCACTCAGTCTGAGTAGAGGAGTGCAGCACAAACTCAGACTTTCAGCTCAAACCAAAGTGTTTCCGCTCAGACTTCAGTGTTTTTGTTTTTTAATCTGACGCGTCTCACCGTTCTACACACCCACTTCTAACACGTTCTGTTTGGGACTTTTAGTTTTTGGTCATCCTCCTCTAATGGAACTTGAGGATTTCCCACCAAAACTCTAAGGTAGGAGTAAACTTCCACAGCCATTTAAGATTGGGTTTATAAAGCTTTAATCTGGGTTTTACCGGTAATCCAGCCGGTGTCTCTAGACTCTACAGGGTTCTGGTTTCTACTTTCCTACTTGTTGGTTCTGACAGTGTTCCTCAGCTGTGATTTACCTTTCAGGCTCTTCATGCGTCTTTTGTTGTTCTCATCAGCAGACCACCCACACAGCCACTGTGACCTCCCCCCACCACCACCTAGTGGAAGAAGATGGAGCGAGCCAGTCGGGGTGTCCTCCCAACTCTCCTGTTAATAACACTCCTGCCCCCAGTTACTCCGGCCCCCTGCCCCCGACCCTGTTCCTGCCCTCAGCCCTCTGAGCTCCACTGCACCTTCCGCTCTCTCCTCAGCATCCCAGCTGTTCCTAAACATCTGGAGCGCATCAACCTGGGGTGGGATTCAGTTTTAGACACTGACTTACTCCTTGTTTTTATTAGGCCTGTAATCCGATTGTTCCCGGTATGGATACACCTACCTGATTGGTTCTGTTTATTTTCTTAGATTCAACAGCATTAATCAGATACGTGGTGAATCCCTGTCTGGCCTGAGGAAGCTGGAGCTGCTGATGATTCATGGGAACAACATCCCCTCGCTGCCTGATGGGGTTTTCAGGGACCTGAAATCACTTCAGGTGAACAAATGCTGATATCACCATGGTTACCTCAGCCTCTGTCTCTGTAGTATAGCTCACTGTGAATCAAGACTTTGTTTATATTTAAATGTCTCTCTGGCATCTCCAAATCCTCCCAACAGGTCTCATGTGGGTGCTGTCATGTGTCTGGAGCTGTTGGTAGAATATGTACAGTACAGGTTCTAGATAATGTCTGGAAAAGTTTGCAATTTGGTTGCAGATTGATTTGAGAACGGCTCCACACAGGTATAAGAGTGGTTTTAGACATGTTCCAGATTAGTGGTGCTCACTCTTGGTCCCGGAGAGCCTGATCCTTCTTCCAGCATGTTTTTCTTTGTTTGTCTGCCCCAACGCACCTGATCCAGTGGTTCAATCATCTGTGCAGCAGCTCATCAAGGCCCTGTCCACATGTAGCCGGGGATCTGCCAAAACATAGATATTTTTCTATGTTTTGGCCTGTCATCCACACGAAAACGGAGTTTTTTAAAAACTCCGGCCAAAGTGAAGATCTGCGTTTTCTCCGTTTTGGGTGTCTGCGTGTGGACAGACAAAACCGGAGTTTTAAGGTCCGCAACGTCACTTTCTGCGACAAAAAAATGCTGACATCACGTGTGCGACCCGTGTTTACACTAGCCGACAGCATGGATGCCCTCAGAGCTGTGCTCGCTTTATCAATTGTCCAAGTGCTTTTTGCTTGTTTGTTTTTGCAAGCGGAGTTACTGCTCCTTGCAGAAGACCACAGACGAAGGACGAGGTTAAGAACGGGGGAAGTACTGCCGCCTACAGGTCTGGCATGTCCTTAACAACGTATTTATCCGGGTACGTGTGGACAGTGTTTTTTTTAAAACGAGGTGGTGTGGATGCAAGATTTTGGAGGGGCGGATATTCGTTTTAAAAAAAACCCGGCTACGTGTGGCCTAGGCCCAAGCTTTTCAGAAGCCTGTTAACCACCTGCTGATTAGAATCAGGTGTGTTGAAGCAGAGTTAAAACTAAAACATGCTGGATACCGGCTCCCCAGGACCAGGAGTGAGTATCGCTGTTCCAAAGGCAGGTTCTAGACAGGTTTCAGTTGGGTTCCAGGCAGGTTGAGGACTGGTTCCAGAGATGTTGCAGAATGTTACAGATGGGTTCCAGATGGCTTTCCTCATGAGAGGAAATTAAAAACCTTTTGGAATCTTTTGGTTTTACATCACAGCTCAGTAAGACTATGTCATAAAGCTGACAATCATTCCTCCACACATTCATCGTCCAAAATGCTTTTTCTTGTGAGGGTCTCAGAGTGCTGGTGTCTATAGCCATCAGGCAAGAGGCGGGGGACATACTGGACCTCCAGTCCATTACAGCGACACAAACATACAAGGAATATAACCAGTCAGTTTTACATCTAGGGACAATTTAGAGTCAAATTAAGCTAACATGCATGTTTTGGGTCTGAGGGAGGAAACTGGAATGTCCAGAGAAAACCAATTTCATCCTATAATCATCTCACCTGTCACATGTTTTTTGATTAAATGTATTTAATTGAAACTAAATTTGTAGCTTTGTGTGTTGGTTTAGATGCTGAAGTTCAGTTATAACAAGCTGAAGGAGCTCCGCAGGCACTCGCTCCAGGGTCTGTGGTCTTTGGTCAGGTTACACCTGGATCACAACCAGCTGGACTTCATCCACCCAGACACGTTTCAAGGTCTCACCTCACTGCGACTTCTGCAGTTGGAAGGAAACCGACTACAGCAGCTGCATCCAGCCACCTTCACTACCTTCAGTGTGTTGTCTCATTTCCACTTCTCCACCCTGCGGCACCTCTTCCTGTCAGACAACAGACTTGTGTCGCTGCCCTCTGGGCTGTTGAGCGCCATGCCCAAGCTGGAGAACTTGTATCTCCATGGTAACCCATGGACTTGTGACTGCAACATGAGGTGGCTCCTTGACTGGGAAAAGACCTCACCAGGTCAGATTCAGTCATGAAAGAACTTCCAGTTGTTTTTGTCATGCTGTACATCACTCTTCTTCTTTTATTCTGTTCCAGGAGTTTTGAAATGTAGAAAGGATGCAAGTCTTCCAGGTGGTAAACTGTGTCCTGTATGCTCATCCCCCAGACATCTACACAGTACAGAGCTCCGTGCTGTGGGGACTCTGGTCTGCCAAAGCCCAGCCATCAGTTCTCCACAAACAACCACCTCATTGGATGAAACTGAAAGGGATGTGTTGAACTATGAGAAATTCAAAGAACCTATTGGAAATGTTTCCTTGGACCTGTCTGATGAGCATGGAAACAAAGTTGGTTTGGAGTGTAGTGTTGGTGAGCCCAAAGACCTCCACAAGATCAACTGGGAGCAAGTTAATCAGCGTCATTTGGTCACCAACATCACTTTCTCTGTTGAGCTTCAATGTCAAGTTGACAGAGAAAAGTACCAACAACTCTGGAGACTAATTGCATACTACAGCAGTGTGCCAGCCCACCTAAAGCGGGGATCAATACTGAGTAAAACACCTCACCCAGCCTACACTTACCAACAGGACTCAGTGCAGGAGGCCCAGTACTACACAGGTGTTAGGGTCAACATGATGGCCCAACCTGCTTGGCTGATGCAACCAAACATTGACGTTCAGCTCAATCGACTTCAGTCATCGGCCAAGACCGTCAGATTAATTCTAGGCACAGAGCTCTCAGAGGTGGTGGACACTGAACTGGAGCAGAACCGGAGAAGGATGTGGGTCATGATTGACTCAACGAACAGAACTCAAAAAGCTATGAGTGTTGTAGTGGGAGGTTCGTGTGAAATGTATTGTGATGTGCACAGCTCTGAGCAGCCAGTAATTCAGTGGATGCTCCCAGATGGCTCCAAGCTGAACTCGACACACAAACGTCCAAACAACCGGATTTCTGTGTCCAGAGAGGGACGGTTGTTCATTAAAACTGCCAACCATAGAGACACAGGAAGTTACTTCTGTATTTCCTGGGTTCACGGAGATCTGGCTGTCCTTCCATTTTTTCTGACTGTACAGGAATCCTCAAGGCCTCCACCAGTAGAAGACACCAGAGAAGACACAGCAATCACATCTGCAGCAGGGAGCCCCTTTACTCTGGACTGCACTGCATCTGGTTCTCCTGACCCTGAAATCAACTGGATTCCACCAAGCAACACTATAGTTAGCTTCCAAACAAACTCGTCTAAAGTCGTAGTCTATCCTAATGGCACCCTCTATATTCCACAGATTCAGGTATCAGACAGTGGGTATTATAGATGCGTTGCCATTAATCAACATGGTGTGGCCACGCAGAATAAAAAAGTTACTGTAGTGAAGCGCAAAGGCCTCAATAGACCTTTGTCAAAGTTTCCATTGGGACCTCAGTCTGCTTCAGGGGTTAACACTCAGATAAAAGTCCTCCCAGTAGATTTGGATGAAGCATCAGGAGACATCGAGATGACTCAAGATGGGCCTCCAGTGAGCCGTGTGGATCCTGCTAGAAGGAGATCTTCAGGAGGAGGTGTTTCAAGCAGGAGAGGTATTCTTCCACCCAGGAATAGGTGGCGGGGACCGCCGGTGCTACGGAAACCAGTTGGGTCTGAGGACAGGAAAGGTACAGCTGGGGACAGGAGGCGGTTTCATTTGTCTAAGAGTAAAATAGATCCAGAGAAATGGGCCGACATTTTGGGTAAGATCAGGGACAGGAAACCTGAGAAATCAGTCACACCAGTTCCTGTTCAGTACACAACCAAGCTCATAAAGCCCCCGAACGCTAAAGAAGAAGTGCCTCATAAAGTTTCTGATCCTGAGACAGAGAGCCAGCATGGTCTAGCAACACAAGAACATACCCAACACCAACACAATGCACATAGTCAGACTCCTCCAAGCTACACCGTGCCTGATGCAGATGGTTTCACTCTGAGTAGAAAACACACTGACATTCTACCATCTACACAGAGTGTCCATCTTCTCTCAGAGCCCACATCCGCTCCTTTACATGTGATCACTTCCAGGCATGAGAACGCTGACACTTTAAGTAGAAACAGGACCTTTTTTCAACAAGAGAACCATAGAGCATGTACGGATGCAAACAGAGAGAACGCAGCCGACCAGTCACTGAGCCCTTCAGTCACTCCACTATATTCTGCTACAACTGAAGAGAAAATCAGAAAATCTTTCCACAAGGCCTCAACCCCATCAGAGTTTCATGTTCAGCCAAAAAACACTAAACTCAGAGATCTGCAAACTGAATCTTCATCAACTACACCTGCTCCCATTTCCCAGAGAAAGTCTGAGAAACATTTAGCTCCAAGCCTCAGGAAAGCCAACTCCAGGAAAAGGAATGGGAGTCGGAAAAAGAAGCCAAACAGACGAAAACACAAGCTGAAAAAAAATACCCGGTTGTTCTCCACCTCCTCAAGGATCACTCCTTCACCAATGGCCACAACCTTCTCCTCCACGGAGCTAAAAATAGAAGCCTCTGGGGTTATAGTCCGCTTCAGTACCACTGTTCCATTCACGAAGGGCCAGGAAGCATTATCCAGCAGAATGAGTCATGAAGAAAGCACAGTCTCCATGCTGGACCAGGAGGAAGGCACATCACTAACGTCACTACCAGCTTCTCTCTCTGACACCAAAGATAGCCATCATGCTTTGAATAAGCCATCAGCTGCACCAACAGCTTCTCCACTTGTAGACACCACCACTTCTCACACAACCTCACAAGGTGAGTCTACTCCAGATATTTCACAGAAACTCACAGTATCCCCCAAGCCTCCTCTACTGGAAAAACCTTCAGACAACACACCAAGCACTGCAGCAGATCCTCGGCTGCATTCTGACAATGTATTCAGGGAGTTTCAAACTGTGACCCGATCTCCAACAGATTTCAAATTCAATCTAGGAGTTCATCAATACAAATTTATTAAGAAGGGTGGAAATATGCTTTGGAAAGAGACTGAACCAGGTTCTTCACTACTGCCTCCTCCATTTACCCCATCCCCCTTTTTCATAGAGCGTGGAATAAGCACAGCCTCTGGGAAGACGTCTGCTGGATCACCTAAAACACAAAGCAAGCTCTTTGAGCAAGCTTTAGGAACAGATATAGTTCCCACAACAATGCCTCAAAAGTTATTTCACAGTTCTGTTCAAACTGAGATCACAGGGACTGAAGCAAAGTGGGATTTTAAGAACAACCAAAACATTATTGATGCTCCAACAACAATAAATACAGAGCCAACAGCTTCTTCTGCAACCTCACTGACCCATGTTCCCGTAACACCAACTGGAGTAATGCTACATGTCACAAAACCCCCAGAACTTGGAGCAAAGATGACCCCATCACCGTGGGACCAAAACACACGTCACACTATCACCACTTCAGAACAAAACCAGACAACCAACCTCCAACCTACAGCATCACCCATTGAGAAACCAGCTAGAACGGATCCAGCATTCCCAGATGTGAATCTACACAGCAGGCAGATGTCCAGCTCCATCCCAACAGCTACTGCGGCTCAGTCAAAGCAATCCAGAGAGGCACTGTCATCAGGCACTAAGGGCAGGGCCACAGGACACCAGCTACCTTTACAGGGATTGGTGCCAAAAGGGAAGCCAAAGAAAACAAAGAACAATCACCAGATGATCACCGTGAAAGCTGAAACAGATGCTCAGCTTCCTTGTGAGGTTCAAGGCCAGCCAACACGCTTCTTGTCCTGGACTAGTGATGCTATTGGTATGTATGACTCAGGCTCCTTACCCAGACTTTGGAGCATCTAGATAGCCACAGCGATTAAACTAAAGTAATAAATCCTGTTAATGAAATAATATTTAGAGCCCAGATGCAGAGAAGGAGAAACAGCTGGCTGCTACACCTTCACATTTAGGACTGACTACCAAAGTCTCAAAAAGAAAAACACAGTTTGAAGTTGCAGAAAACAAAAGACATTTGGACCTTAAACAGTGTGATTGGTGTTTACCTCCCTCTTGTTTACAATGGCACTAGGGGAGCCTGGCCTAGGGGGGGGGGGGGGGGGGGGGGGGGGGGTAGCCAACAGGAGGGGTGACAGTTCTGTTTTTGTGTTTTGCAGATTTGCCATTGCAGCTTTAATAAACCACACATCACCTTAGACCGTCTGTAAGGTCATCTAAACATCACAGAAATCTGACTTAAAGGTCAAATATAGAGTAGCTGTCTCTTTCATGGAGGCAGTAATTCAACCAGTTCTCTCTGGTCTCACTGGGTGTGTCAAAAATCAGGGGCTGTATGTTTGACCTACGATCGACGTAGGCTAGGTTGACTGGGTAGACCAAGCAGCGGTGAATTTGGACAGTCTAGACTTCAGATTTATTCACGCCACTACCTCGGTAAACGTCCTGTCAGCAACCATGACGACCCAGAGCATAAGCTACAGAGAATGGAGCTTGACAATTTGCTGATTTTATTTTTTAATCCTGGAAGAGTAAACAGCAGTTGCACTTACAACGAGAGCTCTGTTAAAAAGTACAATTAGTATTTTAGAACAAAAAGTACAGTTAAAAGTACAATTCAAATTGGTAAATGATGAATGATCTGTATATGGTATAGTGCCTTCTAGAACCCCCCCCCCCCCCCCCCAAGGCACTTTACAACACAATCAGTCATTCACACAAACATTCACACCCTGGCGGTGATAAGCTACATTGCAGCCGCAGCACACTGACAGAGGCGAGTCTGCCGCTGGTGCCACCGGTTCTTCCAAACACCATCAGCAGGCAAGGTGGGTGTCTTGCCCAAGGACACAACAATAGCAACTGACTGAGTGTGGCTCAAACCTGCAACCTTCCAATTACGGGGCGAGCATTTAACTCCTGTGCCACCGTTGCACATGACTGCTTATCTAACCTTTTTAAACCTATACTCACATTTATGACTGTAATTTTCTCAGTCCCGGTCTCCCACGTCTTAGTGTGTCATTGTTGTTAGAAAAATTGCCCGTTCCCTTACATCACTGAATACAATGAACAACTCTAAACCAGTTTTATTCCAGTGGACTGATGAAGAAAACAGCTCATTGGAATGTAGTTGTTGCAGATCCCTGGACCAGACATTCATTGTTTCACACTGAACAGCCAAAAGAATAAAATCAGCCTTATAAATGTTCTGTGGCTACAGAACTATGGTGTGGCACTCAGGGGGCCTGCATGCCTCATCCATCAAGTCAATTCTGTAAATTTAAACAGCGTGAAAAAGAGCTGACGCGGCTCTGCAATATCGCGTGGACATCGGGGGCAGTCCCACTGGACTGGCAGACCGGGGTGGTGGTTCCCTTATTTAAAAAGAGGGGCCGCAGGGTGTGTTCCAACTACACTCCTGAGCCTTCCTGGTAAGGTCTATTCAAAAGTTCTGGAGAGGAGGTTCCGTCGGATTGTTGAACCTCAGATTCAGGAGGACCAATGTGGCTTTTGTCCTGGCCGTGGAACACTGGACCAGCTCTATACCCTTAGGGGGATCCTGGAGGGTGCGTGGGAATTTTCCCAACCAGTCTACATGTGTTTTGTGGATTTGGAGAAGGCATTTGACCGCATCCCTCGGGGGGCCCTGTGGGGGGAACTCCGGGAGTATGGGGTGCCAGGCCCTCTGAAATGGGCTGTTAGGTGCCTGTATGACCGGTGTTAGAGCTTGGTCCGCATTGCCGGCAGTAAGTCGGGCTCATTCCCAGTGAGAGTTGGACTCCGCCAAGGCTGCCCTTTGTCACCGATTCTGTTCATAACCTTTATGGACAGGATTTCTAGGCGCAGCCAAGGTGTGGAGTAGAGCCCTGCACGGGCCGAAAATTTGAGCCCGTGTCCGGCCGGCCCGAGGGGGTGGAGCCCCAGCCCGACCCGGTCCAAAAAGGCTTTCAGGATTCTCTGGTCCGACCCGAGCCCGAGCCCGACTTTTTTTTAACCAACTAAATGAAAACAAAGTGCGTCAATCCTGACCAATGTGTTAAAAGATGTGCTGGATCCGATCAATTTGTTTTTCCCTCATTTACCGTCACGGAGATAACGGCGCAGGCTCTGGTGGTAATCAAGTTAAATTTGATCTCTTTCCAACAATTTTCACAAGAAAACAAAACAGTCAAAAGCAGGGCTTGTGTTGTGTTGACCGGATAGTTCCCGTATTTGACCGTTAATTTTGACGGAGAAAGAATAGAAAGAATTACCCCGACGCATGCAGATGAACTGACTCTTTATTCGTTTGGCACACTGCGGATGTAGCTAAATCACCCAAGAAAAGATTCCCATCTGAACATCTGAGCTGGACACTGCTCAGCGCAGCTCGCTGTCAGCGCATATGTGCACAGCGACCTGAAGATGTGGAGAGGGGCTTGGAGCGCGTCGCAGAACCAGAGCGCATGCGGGAAGGTTCCTCCCACTGGAGCGAGTGTTTTCCAAACCCTGTCTCTCAGAGAGACTTGTCACTTAGAAAATGTTCCCTGATTATGAAACTTTGGATGAATAGTGCTTCTTCCTGTCTCCAATGTGGTGAAGAATTCATGAGCTGTCTGAGAAGCCCAGAATCTCACATCCTCTTCAGCTCAGAAAGCGCCTATCATTACGCACAAGCGTGACGCGTCAACCCGGTCTCACAGTAAGACTGGGTTGGACCTGCTCAGATTTACGCAGACAATCTTTACATAGAATTTACAGATATAAAATTAATTCAGTAAATATAAAGCATTTTATTTAAATATCCATTCATTATTTTACAAGCACAGAGAGCCACATCAGATGGATGGAAGAGCCGCAAATTGAGACCCCTGGTATAGCCTATAAAATGACATGTTGAGGACGCAAACTCAATACATCTCTTTTATTGTGAGGTAATAATTTCTCCGAGTTTTGCGGGTGCGGGCGGGAGTGTAACACACATGTTGCGGTTGCGGGCGGTAATGGTCAAAAATTCAGCGGGAGCGGGCAGGAGCGGGATGAAGAAAACAGTCCTGCGCAGGGCTCTACTGCTGCGTTTTGTGTTTCAATTTTTTTTAATGAATTAGTTTAAAAATAAAGGTGCCCGGCCTGGCCCGTGTCCAAAGTAATTACACAGTCGTTGGCCCGGGCCGTTGGGCCGGGCCGACCTGAGGGCCTAGGGCTTCAGTGCAGGGCTCTAGTGTGGAGGGCATCCGTTTTGGTGGCCTGAGGATCAGGTATCTGCTTTTTGCAGATGATGTTGTCCTGTTGGCTTCATCAGCACGTGATCTTCAGCTTTGGCTGGAGCGTTTCACAGCTGAGTGTGAAGCAGCTGGTATGAGAATCAGCTCCTCTAAATCTGAGACCATGGTCTTGATTCGGAAAAGGGTAGAATGCCTTCTCCGGATCAGGGATGAGGTCCTGCCCCAAGTGGAGGACTTTAAGTATCTTGGGGTCTTGTTCACGAGTGAGGGAAAACTGGAGCGTGAGATTGATAGGAAGATTGGTGCTGCATCTGCAGTGATGCAGGCGTTGTACCGGTCTGTCGTGGTGAAGAGAGAGCTGAGTCAGAAGGTGAAGCTCTCGATTTACCGGTCGATCAACGTTCCTACCCTCACCTATGGTCATGAGCTTGGGTAGTGACTGAAAGAACGAGATCGTGGATACAAGTGGCCAAAAAGAGTTTTCTCCGCAGAGTGGCTGGGCTCTCCCTTAGAGATAGGGTGAGAAGCTCGGTCATTCGGGAGGGGCTCGGAGTAGACCTGCTGCTCCTCCACATCGAGAGGAGCCAGATGAGGTGGCTCAGGCATCTGGTCAGGATGCCTCCTGGATGCCTCCCTGGTGAGGTTTTCCGGGAGCGTCCAACCAGGAGGAGACCCAAAGGTAGACCCAGGACACGGTGGAGGGACTATGTCTCTCACCTGGCCAGGCAACGCCTTGGGATTCCCCCGGAGGAGCTGGCCCAAGTGGCTGGGGAGGGGGAAGTCCGGGCCTCTCTTCTTAGGCTACTGCCCCCGCAACCCGACTCCGGATAAGCAGATGAAAATGGATGGATGGATGGATGGATGGATGGACAAAGAGCTGACAGAAGTGATTTAAGGAGTTAGGTCAAATTAGAAAAAAAACAGGGCTGCTTAGGTCAAATTAGAAAAAAAAACAGGGCTGCTTAGCAGTGTAGTTATTAACTCTAACTGTCATGGCTGTGGGGAGTTTCCTGACCCAAGACATGCAGAATCACACTAGGAGACGTAGGTAAAAAGAAAATAAAGTTTTATTTATTCCTGGATGATCTTAAGGAAACTAAAGGTGCACCGCCAGACATGGCGGTGATACTGAGCACAGCTCCGGGGCTGGTTCTGTTGAGACAAACGCTGGTCAGGGTTTTGGACAGAGTGGGAAAGAACTAGGAGGACTCAGTTTCTCAGGTTCTTACTGTGGAGCTGAAATCCAGTAGCTTGGGAGGGTAGACAGGACTGGGGTGAGCAACGTCTGTGGTGATCCGAAATCCAAGGGAGGTGAGCGGTGGGAGAGCGGGTCGGTCCAGGTGTGGAGGGAGATCCGGTTTGGAGGTGAAATCCAAGGTTATAGCAGAAGTGGTCAGAGGTGAGAGTTCCTGGTGGGACAAGGCGGAGTTCATTCAAAACTGCGACTGCTAGTAAGCACAACAAACAAAGACTAAAGCTTTAGTTAGTTCTATAATGCCACAGCTACCCAAAGTGAGTAATCTTCCAGCGAGGTGAAGTGATCTCCAGCTCCTTATAAAGGCTGGCAGGTGATGGGAAAATGGCACAGCAGCTGGCCGCTCTCCAGAACCACCCACCTGCAACGACTTGAGGCTGATTAACAGAAATGTGCAGACTCACCCCAGATCCTGACACTAACCTCCTCAACCAAGTTTTAGATGGAGCTTGGGACCATCCATTTGTTTTATTCATTTGTTAGTTTTGTATTTGTTTTAATGTATTTATTAATTTTTAAATGTATTATGATTACATTTTTTGATCTTATGGTGTTTTCTGTGTGTAGGAGTGAGGTTTGCTATCAACACGATGACCCAGAGGTTTGAGGTCCACCCAAATGGAACCTTGATCATTAGGAAATCTCAGCTATCAGACGCGGGTCAGTACTCATGCACAGTTCAGAAGGAGCACGGTACAGAAAAGATGACGGTTGACCTCGTGGTCCTGTCTCAATCTCCACGAGTCCTGGAACCTCCACACAAAGATGTCACTGTGGATCTTGGCGGTACAGTTGAATTGGAATGTAAAGTGGACAGTCATGAGGTGACATGGGTCCTCCCTAGTCAGGTCCAGATGATTGCAGGACAAGCCAATGGACATGTTCAGCAGCGTGTGAGGGTTAATGATAATGGAACTCTCCGGATCAGCCAGGCCAGTCTCACCGATACAGGGACCTACAGGTGTACTGGCAACAGGGTAGCTGGATCAGATGCCGTCTCTGTACGTCTTCATGTCTCAGCGCGCCCACCTGAGATTCAGCAAACAAAACATGAAAACATGACTCTTATGGAGGGAAGCTTTGCCTACATTACCTGCACAGCCACAGGTATCCCTCAGCCCATAATTCACTGGACCACACCTGATGGCTTGAAGCTCAGTTCTTCTCAGACAATCAGTGGACAGAACCTGATTGTCTTTCCAAATGGAACCCTTCACATCCAAAGACTAAGTCCCAGAAACTCTGGGAGGTATGAGTGCTTAGCCAGGAACACAATATCATCCAGCCATAGAACCGTGATGCTAAGTGTCAGGAGACTATTGTTTTCTGCCAAGGCTATGATCACATCTTCATCTCCTCAGAAAACAGACGTGATCTATGGAAGGACGCTGCTTTTAAATTGTGAAGCAATAGGACATCCAGAGCCCAGAATCCTTTGGAGGACACCCTCAAAAAAGCTAGTAGATGCTCAGTACAGGTGAGAAAATGCTAGAATGCACAGCTAACTTTCTTCTTCATTCCATCCTAAATATGTTCAGTAGAACAAATCCCCCCTTATTGTTTCTACAGTTTTGACTCCAGGATTAAGGTGCTCCTTAACGGCAGTATAACCATCCATTCTGTGACTGAGAATGATGGCGGGGACTATCTCTGTGTAGCACGGAACAAGATGGGTGATGACAATGTCCAACTACGGGTCAATGTACTGACAAGGCCAGCCAAGATTGAAAGGAAGGATGAGAGCTTCAGTCAGGAGGTAGTTCATGGAAAGGACCTGAGGGTGGACTGTGTGGCTTCTGGACTTCCTAACCCTGAGATCAGCTGGGCGCTGCCAGATGGCACAATGGTCAACCCAGTCAAACGGAGTCGCAGGTAGGAGATGCTTATTGGTACCTTCTACCTTTGATTGAGTTTGCCACAGTCAGCACAACCTCATTACCACAGAGAAAAGACCGAATCACACCACTGTTAGATTTTACTTGAATTAATAATTCATTGAATAAAGAAACTTGAATATTTAGTGTTAACTGATAAAAAAAACAGAGATAACGGGAAAATGTGAAACAGCAATAGATCTGCAGTGTGTTGGTTCTTTTTTACACTCACCATCACTTTTTCATGGTCAAAGTTGTGAGAATTTTTCTTTTCTTTTTGAATTCCATGCAGGTATGTGGTGTTTGATAATGGAACGCTTTACTTCAATGATGTTGGTGTGCCAGAAGAAGGCGACTACACCTGCTTTGCAGAGAACCAACTAGGTAAAGATGAGATGAAGGTTAGAGTCAGGGTGAAGATGGACATGTCACCCCCTTTAATCCAAGGTAAAGACCAACTTCCTGTCAGAGTTTTCCACGGGCAGACAGTAACACTGCAATGCAATGCCAAGGGTGACCCAATACCAACCATTACATGGATGTCTCCAACAAATAGACTGATCCTACCTTCGTTGGACAAATATCAGATCCTTAAAGATGGAACTTTGGTTGTTCAAAAAGTTCAACGTTATGATGGAGGTAACTACACCTGCATAGCTAGGAATAGTGTTGGTCAAGACCATAAAGTGGCCAGACTGGAGATCTTGGTAACACCTCCAGTCTTCAGTGATCAAAGAGGAGCTGCCAGGTCAGTCACAGCAGTCCAGGGTCAGAGGATGCTGCTTGACTGCACGGCAAAGGGAACCCCTACACCTCACATCACATGGATCCTGCCAGGAAATGTGAACCTCCCTGCACCGTACTACAGTACCAGAAGAACCGTTCACCAGAATGGAACCTTGGAAATCCAGTTCCCCCAAAAGACTGACTCAGGACAATTGACTTGTGTTGCTCATAATGACGGAGGGGAGGTTAGAATGTCGGTTAACCTGGAAGTCAAGGAGGCTGTTGGAAGGCCACAAACGAGACCTTCTGTAACAGATAATGTATCTCTAAGACTGGGGAGTACTGTAACTTTGAATTGCTCCTTTGAGGGCTTGAAACTACCTCGTCCCACTTGGATTTTACCTGATGGCACACCTTTGCACACTGGTGCTCAATATTACAAGTTTTTTCATCGGTCGGATGGTTCTTTGATCATCAGCCACCCAACTGTTGCTGAGGCTGGGATGTACCGCTGTCTGGGGCATAGTCCTATAGGTGTTATGGAGCGTACAGTCACACTGTCTCCAGGAAGAAAGCCTGAGATCAAAAACAGATACACCTTTCCTATCAATATCATGAATGGGGAAACACTGTTCCTTCATTGCCAAACCACTGGTGAACCACTCAGTCTAACATGGACCCTTCCTAGTGGAGTTGTCTTGAACAGGCAGCAGAGAGCTGGGAGGTATGAGATATTACACAATGGCACATTGGCTATTCGGCAGGTATCCGTCTATGATCGAGGGCCCTATGTTTGCAGGGCTGCTAATGAGTATGGCAGCTCTCTGCTCTCTGCAGCAGTAACTGTGATTGCACGCCCACCTCGAATCACCATCAGCCCTCCCTCTGTCATGTATGTTAAACATGGCGTTGCTGTCCAGTTAAACTGTGTGGCTACTGGGACCCCCAATGTGGAGGTAGCATGGGAAACACCTGAAAAAACCCGCTTGGCTGTTAGTGCTCAGCCACGCCTTTTTGGAAATAAATATGTTCATCCTCAAGGTTCCCTCATTATTCAGAGCCCAACACAAAGAGATGCTGGAGTCTACCGGTGCACTGCCAGGAATATCATTGGCACAGACTCCAGAAGCACAACACTTAATGTTTTCTAAAACATTAACTGCCCGTACTCCTACTGTTTGCCCAAGCAACTGCCATTTTCAAAACATTGAATTGTTTCATCTGAAAATATAACTTAAATAACAACTACCATCACTGATAGAATCATCTACGATGATTTGAACCTATGGTACTGTGTGCTAGATTATAGAGTCCAATTATATATGCTATCTCTTTAAAAGTAACCTCAGATTATCCCAAATACCAAACTTTGAGGCCATCCAGGTTTGCAATTCCCAGGAGTTTAGTACAGAAGTAAACTCTCAATAATGTCCAACCCTACACTCAGGTATATTTATTTAGGTAAAGTTGATCCACAGTTTAATTTAATCAGCTCTGGCATAATTCAGTTCTTTCTCTCTCTCTCTCTCTCTCTCTCTCTCTCTCTCTCTCTCTCTCTCTCTCTCTCTCTCTCTCTCTCTCTCTCTCTCTCTCTCACACACACACACACACACGCACGCACACAAACAACATTTTAGTGACACCTGATTTCGAAAGCCCTGATGTAGAGTGACACTGTTCAAACTAGGACAAAGAAATGACAAAGTTTTCTATATGTTTAGTTTGAGGGATTGCTGGAAAAATGTCACTTCCAGCTGATATTGTCCAATTCAATTACACTAGACTTGTTCAGATTAGATTAGAATAAGTGTGTTTAATTAAAATCTAAACTGATAATTATGAGCCGGCCTCTAGTTTTTCAACCCGTAAGATAATATAGCTACTGTTTTATTTGTCAGGTGTCCCAAACCCACCTAAAACACAAGTGACTGTTAATCTGTTCATCTGATAAGTAATTTTACACCTTAAATAAAAAAAAAACAAATGTGTGATTTAATCATAATTAGAGTATTTATATGGCAATTTATGAGTAGTTCTTTAAATATTTGCAAGGAATTCTGAAGACAGTCAGAAGTAACTCTAGTTATTTGCAAGAGATATTCCCTGGAAAGTCTGTGTTTAAAGACAAAACATGAAAAATGACAATATGGTGCAAAAGTTAATTTATTTCAATAATTCAACCTAGACTGAGAGACAATCTACAGGCTCAGGAACCCTTTGTAGGAGTTCTGGATTCATTAGCTGGCCAGAATGTGACACTTAGTATAAAATATTGAACCTTTTCACAATATTCTAAAAGTCTGAGGTTTTGAATGTGGGCTTTTCATCAGCTGTAAGCCATAATCATCACAATTATAACAAATAAAGGCTAGAAATGTCTGTCTCATGTGTTAGTTTCACCATTTAAGTTGAATGACTGACATAAATGAACATTTGCATCATATTCAGAATTTTTATTTTCACATTATCCTAATCGCAAGATGTTTTGTGGTTCTTTACAAACATAAATATCACAAGCAGCAGTTTAAAGCTCACCTAGGTTTTGACACCAGTAGTGCTTAATGTTTCTGCGGAATGTAGTTAAAGTTAAACAGTCAGTGCAGTAAAGGTTTGTTGAACAATGTGAAAATTTACAGACTGGAATTGTTTTACTAAGATAACAGCAACAAACTTTGACCATGGCAGGTTGGCTGGTCCTGGACCAGCTTCATGGTCCAGCCATGAAAGAAACTCCTAAACTCCCCCTACTCCAACATTTAGTCTTATTTGACATGAAAAATTTGGTAAATATGTTCCTTGATGCTTGTTTTTTTTTCCTGATCAGTGTTTCTACTGCTGTGAGGTGTGTGTGTGTGTGTGTGTGTGTGTGTGTGTGTGTGTGTGTGTGTGTGTGTGCGTGTTTCTTTCTTTAATAGAATCATTTGTTCTTCCTACCTGTAACGTGGAGGTGTATTTGAATGAAGTGCTCACATTTCTTTGTAAATTTTTGGTTTTTAATGCAGAAATTTTCCATTATTTTAATAAACTTTTTCCAATCTCCACTTGATACTTTTCTTGTTAAAGAAAATAAATGAAAATGTTGTCTATGTAATCCAATGATGATGTGACAGATAAAGAGTTAGGCAGATAAATGATGGAATCAGAGCGATGTTGGTGTTGTGGGTTACAGAAATAGGTCAGCAGTACTCTCAGAGACCTTTAATTCCTGCTCTGGGAGTCTCGTCTTCCAAAGAGAGAAAACATCTGGAGTTCACCAGACTGATGCTCGACCCAGCTGTATCTGAAACCTGGACTCGTCACCATCGTAAGGTCCTTTGGGTCAACCTCGGCTCCCATCCAAGCTTCTGCTGATGAGGTCACTGTTTTCTGTTCCCACATTTGATGAGACCAGTATGAGGTAGGGCTCATCACATCGATCTGTTGCTGTGTGTGTGCTGACTGATAGTGTCTTCTCCGGGAGCCAACTGTCATCACAGCTCAGAGGAGCTCAACAAGAAGCTGGGGGTTAAACATGTCATGATTCATGATGAGGCAGATTCTCTCCGAGAGTTTTACTTTGAACTTGTTATGGAGGTTTTAGGTGTTCTGATCAATCCTCGTTGATTTGCTTTGACTGTGTAGAACAACCACAGCTTAACAACCTGTGACCTTTGGGCCTGAGTTGATTCATCAAAATGAACACTGGAACAGTCAGTCGTAGCCCAGACAGATGGTCAGCTGCAGCCATGGCTGCTGAAAAACTGTTGGTGTTAAGCAACTACACTGGTGTACCTTATTAAGTAAATGGGTGAGTGGGAACGTTGGTGTCCATTCAAATTCCAAATTTCACCTCTTCAGACAGGCACATGTTTATAATAATAATACATTTTATTTAAAAGTGCCTTTCAGAACACCCAAGGTCACTTGACAGAAAATACTTAATAAAATACAATAAAACAACAATAAAACCCAAACAAGAAAAAACAAAGAGAGAAACAGTTCAATAAAATCAGAGGTCATAGGCAGATTTAAACATATATGTTTTGAGTTTTGTTTTGAAAAGGGTAAAACTGTCGATGTTCCTGATGTCTGGGGGAAGTGAGTTCCAGAGACGAGAAGCAGAGCGGCTGAAAGCTCTGCTCCCCATGGTAGCGAGACGGGCAGAAGGAACCGCAAGATGGATGGAAGAAGAAGATCTGAGTGAACAGGAGGGGGTGTGAATACTTATAAGGTCTGAGATATATGGAGGAGAGAGGTTGTGGATTGCTTTGAAGGTATGGAGGATAATTTTGAAGATGGACCTGAATTTAACTGGGAGCCAGTGAAGCTGTTAGAGAACCGGGGTTATGTGGTGAAAGGAAGGGGTTCTGGTGATAAAACGGGCTGCTGAATTCTGGACCAGTTGCAGTTTATGAAGGAGTTTGTTGGGGAGAGCATAAAGAGGTGAATTGCAATAGTCGAGACAGGAGGTGACAAGGCTGTGGATGAGAATGTCGGCAGTGTGAGGGGTAAGGGAGGGGCGAAGACGGTTTATGGAATGTAGATGGAAGTATGCTGACCGAATTGTGTTATTAATGTGAGCTTGAAAAGAAAGTGAGCTGTCGAGGATGACACCCAGACTCTTGACCTGAGGGGAGGGGGAGACTATGGCATTGTCAATAGTTAAAGAAAAGTTGTCAGATTTTGAGATGGTGGATTTAGTGCCAACTAGAAGAAGTTCAGTTTTATTGCCGTTGAGTTTGAGGAAATTAGAGGTTTAGTCATACAAACACATGACAGCACAAAAACCTCAAGAGCCTGCTCTAACTTTAATCTGCCTTATCATGAATCATGACTGTCTGATCACCTCAGCTGACCTTTCTGTACCAGGTTATGTTAAGAGATCCTGTGTTGTTTATGGAATCAACCTGCTCAGGTGGCATCTGACATCTGGCAACATCAGGAGGTGAGGTGTTCTCCAGAGTTCCCACAGAAACATCTGTCTGAAGGAACATGGATTTGCCTGGCCTGGTCTACAATACACACACACACACACACACACACACACACACACACACACACACACACACACACACACACACACACACACACACACACACACACACACACACAGAGCCATGAAAGGAGACCACATCACCCGACACAGCTGACTGTCATTATTCTTGAAGTTCCCAATTATCCTAATCGCACAAATTATGGGTTCTAAGAATCTGGCAGAACCTCTGATCCAATTAACCCAGCAGCTTTGAGAATGAGTCAGAGGGTGGGGTGTATTAGGCTGTCACAGATCTCTCTGCTTGTGCATTCAAAGCAGTCACAGCTTGACTACAACAATACCTCAGAAACACACACACATTCAGCCACACCCATCATCACAGTTGGAGGACTACAGATGAGCATTTGGATGAACATTTATTCTTCAGACTCAATGTGAGAAACATCAGAGGAGCTGAAGATCTTTAGGTATAATCATGGAGAGCAGGCCTGGGTCCTGAACTTGGTCAAACCCAGCAGTGCTCCTTGTGAAGTCCTGGACCCAGCCTGAAATGATTAATGAGCACTGTCATGGATTTTATCAATATGTTTATCAATAAACCCATGTAGCGTTGGCAAATTGAGTGCTTTAAGAGCTCAAGATATATATTACCTATACTTATGACCAATAAGCTGTGATACTCTACTTAAATATAAAACATCCACCCTGCTTGGTCTTTATTGTATCTATCAGAAAAATCTAGCATTTTTGCTTTATTAAGTAACTGCACACACTTCGTTTTGACTCAGAAAAGAATCAGGTTTATAAAAGTAAGAATTTATTTTATAAACAATTAAAACATGACTATTTAACTAAGCATTTACAGTGAGTGGATGGAACTAAATGTGATGTATGTGTCAATGTGGTGTTAGTCAGAACTTCCTTATCTAGGAGGGCTGAGTTCTGGATGTAAAAGAATTTGATTTGCATAAACTACGAAGTTCTTATCAAATCAAATCAAATCAAATCAACTTTATTTATATAGCACTTTTCATACAAAAAATGCAACTCAAAGTGCTTTACAGATTAAAATGGCCCCATAGATCCCACATTCCCATCCCAGCCCCCCTCCCCAAGTATAAAACAATTAAAAATTACAGTTCCCCTCCCGCACCCAACTTCCAAAGTGGACATACAATCACCCGCACACACACACACACACACACACGCACACACACACACACACACTCGTGAACACCAGAGGAAACAATAGGCTGAGTTCAGATGGGTCAGGTAATGAACGACACATCATCAGCGGAGCCATCTGCCTTGGCAGCAACAGATCCACGGCAGCAGCCAAGACACCGGCCCATGACGCCCAGAGGCGTAGGGCAGAAACCCCCACCAGTGCCCGGGCACTACCTGGGGAGCGCCCCGGCCGCCGCCGCCCCTGACCACCGGCCCCAAGGCAGAGGGCTCCGCAGAGGAAACACTGGAGGATTTAAGATATATAACATATAAAATAATAAAAGCTAATAATGATAAAAAGTAACTGATAAAAAGTGATTATAAAGATAGTAAAAGAAAACATAATCATATAAAAACACTAAGATGTATATAAAATGATAAAAATAATAAGAGAGATAAATATGTATTTATAGATAAATAGTAATCAGTTAAAAGCTAAGCTAAAAAGGTGGGTCTTGAGCCTATTCTTAAAAGCCTGGATGTTCCCTTCGGACCTGAGGTCCTCCGGCAGCCCGTTCCAAAGGCGAGGGCCGTAGTACTTGAAGGACGCCTCGCCGTGGGTGTGAGTCTTAACTTTAGGGATAACTAGGAGACGGCTGCCAGAGGAGCGCAGAGACCGCGAGGGTTTATACAGTAAAAGCAGTTCTGAAAGATAAGAAGGCCCAAGACCATTAAGACACTTAAAAACCATTAAAAGAACCTTAAAATCAATCCTGAAACATACGGGGAGCCAGTGCAGTGATTTTAAAACCGGAGTGATGTGCTCCCGCTTCCTGGTCTTCATCAGGACACGTGCTGCTGAGTTTTGTAAGAGTTGTAAACCTGAGATGCTCTTTTTGGGAAGACCAGAAAGCAGGGCATTGCAGTGCAGTATCAAAGACACATCAGACGCAATCTGTCATGTCTACTTCACCCATTTAGGAGACCCTCGTGGTGGATCCAAAGGTCACAGGGGTCGGCTGACCTCTGGCACTGGAGGGCTGTAGAATCTGTGGTACTGACTCTTCAGTCCAGAGATGTCTCGGGTCATAACAGCTGGATGGAACCGCGCGTCTGGGACTCTTTAAGGAGTCTAACAATATTAGCTTTGTTCTGCAGGAACTGTTGCTTATCAGCTTCGCAGGTGGAAAAAGGTTTTGACGACATGTCAAAATCTTTGATGGTTAAAGAGGTATGCTTCAGATGGCCGGTCTGAAACTTTCTCTGGAACTGCCGAATCACCCAGGTTGATCCAGTTTTAAGGTTTTGATGTTATGATTTGCACAGCAAATCAAAGGCTGACAGGTTTGAGAGATGTTACCAAGACAACTCAGAAACACCCTTCCTTGATACTGGATGTTCTGACTGGGTAAAAGACTATTTATGTGTCAGAGTTTAACGTAACCGTACTTGTTATTGTGTAAGCGCAGATGTTATGACCACGCCATTTAAACATGATGAACCACATTGCAATCATTGTAGACGTAACATTCATTTCACACTTCAATCATTGAGCACAGATTAATGAAGCATTTCATTATAATATAATTATTATAAGTAGCAATAAACATAAGTTTATTTAATGATTATCTAGATTAGAAGTTGTGGAATAGTTCATATTTTCTTGTATAGGACTTCAAAATTGACGAAACTCAGGATGACCTTATCATCTTGTATTGCCAAGTAGCAAACTTTGGGATCTTTCACTAATCTTCTGTCCAACCGAAAATTCAGTGGATTCAATACAATTGGGAGTTTTGTTAAAGAGAATGTTTTTCTTGGGTCTTTATCAAATGCATAATAAGCAGTTTGAAAAATAACCCAATTTGTCAGGTTTTTTGTTTACTTCATTTATGTG